AGGGTCTTCCTCAGGAAAGATCAAGACAGTTGGGTATCCAAAGCCAAATGGCCAGCTCTGAAGACACACACGCACCCACCCACCCACACACACACACACACACATACACACACCCCATCATGAAAACTAAGATAGTTGAACTTATGTTCATGAATTATATATATACATATATAGGCACATACACATATATACATGTGTAATAATAATTAGAAAAAATAGAGGCCTTGAATTTGAAAGAAATCAAGGAGGTGTGAGATTCATGGAATATTTTGAAGGAAGGACAGAGAATGGATAAGTAATGTAATTACATTTAAATCTCAAAAACAGAAAAGTAGATTTTTAAAAATATTGCCTATGAAAGTCAAGCCAATATCATCCTTCATCCTCATCTCTGATTTCCAGAATTTCTCTTAATCTGTAAATATTCTAAGCAAGTATATGTTTTATGTACAAAGAATGCCCATTGCTGTGCATAGCCTCTCTGTCTTTAGATTACTAGTGTCTCAGAATATTTTTCAAAAATCTCTAAGTGTAGGGGTGCAGTTTCAAGGTTGCAATAAGATGATTGCAGGAATGTGTGGCAGCCCAGGCCACAGACATACAGTAAATAGTAGCCTGGTTTCTAAATAGTGAGTTCCCATCTCTCTGCCCCACCATAATCATCTAAGGCTCCATTGCTGAGTGTAATGACTAGGAAGCATATTTTCTTATTTTAATTTTGCAGAAGATTTACCATGTTCCACTACAGCAGTAACAAATAGTGGTTCACAGTACTTTCCATTTTCTGACATTGAAGTTGTCTGATTTTCCACAAGCATCTTGGTAGAGGCAGTTTTGCAGTCAAGCTATTTGTTGAGGACTCACATGGAAAGTAAGGAAGGGCAATTACCTTTTGAACTCTGTTTTTGAGTAAACAAAGCTGAGTGGAACAGTGGGAGCAGAAGGAATGTTCTCAAGAGCATATTAGCATAAAGCAATTAGGCAATGATAATAAGAGTTAGCCACTGCTGTTATGGTAACAACTGCCAGTGGCCTCTGAAACAACCTCACTTAGGAATCTTTCAGGGTGTCTTGCATTGCTCTACTTGGGAATTCTCTGCCCCAGCTGCCCTTATCTCTTGGGAACAAATTTCTAATTCAACATAGTCCTTTAACACATCAGTTGTTGACAAGTAACTTCATATTTCTTTCACTGAAAATGTAAACTGTTTCCCTAGGCTATTCTTGCTTGTCAGCCTCCTACCATCTTCTCAAAGTCATTGCCTCTACACTAGCTCAGTTAAGACTGGGCCTTTTATTTCTATTAAATATATTGTACTCAAAGAACACATTTGCTTTCATTTCTATAGCTTCCAGCCCGGAGTGTTTCTTCTTGTGTTATGGTCAGGTCTGCAGAGGAAAAATAAGGCTTGTTCGTGGCCAAGGTAGAAGTAAAATCTCTAGTGTGGTCTCACACCTCTGATGCTACCTCTGTCATAAGATAAATCTTTTCGCATCCCTAACCCCCACAACATGATAAGGCCTTGGCATTTTGCCCAGGATGGCAAGAGCTAGAAGATACTAATGGGAATAAGCATGATTCTTTTCGAAAGAGGAAACAGATGATCCCACAAGCCAGTTGGTTATGTCCATATATTGGGTTATGTTTGGACAAGAGAGACTATAAGCACAATCAACAGTTCCCATGAAATACTGAGATAGAGTGCAATGAACTGAATGTTTTCTACACCTACTTTTAGGCATCTGAATTGAAATTTCACCAACCTGAAAATATTCCTGATATTCTGGTCCCAGAAGATGAAAACAATAGTAAATTGTAATGTTGCTGCATTTGAAATATGTGTGGAGTTTGATAACCCCAATGGTGTGTATTAAATAGTGCCTCTTTTTAATAATTCTGAAATTCTCATAACCATTAGAGTATACATTCTAAACAAGCATAGATTTCAAAAGAATTATCAGAAAATGCAGCAGGACCTAATAGTGAAAAGAGAGTTAGTAGTAATTATATCCTACTTTCTCCTAAGGAAGTGAAGCATCACTTCTTTGCTGGTCATTAATTATATGTGGAAATCAAATAAAATGAGTGTCTGTGTTATATGTACACATTAAATTATGCATTGGTGTTTATAAATTTTTAAGCACTAAAATATGTATTTGCTTTGTCATGATTTAATAAATATTAAGGAATAAGACAGTTGTCCACCCCAACCACATCATTTAACTTTTCAGTGTCCAGATTTTATATATATATATATATATATGCATATATATACATATATATACTAAACTGAAACCTGCAGTGCCCATGCCACAAGCAACTCTGAGGTATCAGGAAAAGAAAGACCAGATGTCCAGCTATTTGTACTAAGAAGTATCTTTATTTTGCAAGTGTTAAGAGGTCTCTCTCTTGTAGAGGGGAGAAGTCTTATATACAGTCTTACAACACAGTAGAAAAACTCCAGGTGGAAGAGAGCATGTTTTCCTGGTGCTAGATGTTGATGTCAGTGGGGCAATGTGGGGGCAGTAAGCCAGGACTAGAAAACAGGATGTACCTGTGGCTATCAGCTGACAAACAACTCAGAGACCCTGTGGGGACTAGGCCCCAACAAAAACCAAATGATTTTAGAAACATTTTAAAATTGGGCAAGTTACTACATCAATTTGTCTCAGTAGTAAGGAATTTTTTTCTGAAACGTTAGCTCCTTTACTTACAAACACCTATATGAATTTCATTTATTTATGAATTTACCCTTCCAACTTGAAATACCAACTCTAGGATATGCCTTTTTTAAAGTATTTTGGGAATTATTAGTTTAATCATTTTGGGGAAGAACCTTGCTAATGTGTTATTTCCTTCTGCTCCTCTAATGGGTCTATTTTTTTATCATTTTTCAACAATGTAGACTCTATGCAAAGTGCTTGGCCAGTGCAGATGGACTGCTGCATATTTATTCCCAGCATTTCCTCTGGTTGGTCTTGCATTGATGAGCTGTGAAATTCTTAATAGCAAAAATCATTGCATACATTCATGCCTTCTTAGAAAAAAGACTGCTCTAATGGTTGGACTAAACATTAGGCTATGCCCTAATGTTTATTTACCAAAAACAGCCTATGTAAGCTACTGTGACATGATAGTGCAAACTTCTCCAAAGGGCATTGCTTTTACAATGCATATATAATTATGTCCCCCTTAGAGTTTTCATTTTCTTCCCCAAGTTATCATTTTAATTTTTCTTTCCCAATATTGAAGAGTAATATATCTCACTAACTATGCAAGATTCCTTCTTTTTCTTTAAGCACTGCAATTCCCTGTAGCCTTCTCTGCAGGAAGTAACCTAAAAGGGAAAATTTAATGTGAAGTCTACAGCTTTTACTTTTATGGTATCACCATGTTTGATTTTATTTTTATTATGGTCAAATGGATCATGTACTAATTTAATTATATGGTGTCATCTTGGAGGTCACCTTGGTCCATATAATGAATTCCAGTAACCACTGGGTGCATAGTGAGTCTGTCACAAGCTCCTCCCACACCACCAATATATGTATATTTGTATAATAAGGACAGGATTAATAAACAGGACAAACTTGAGCTAAGCCCTCCCTGGAGACTCTTGAAATTGCTCAGAGACTGGGTCTTAAGTTCCTGAGCATCTCTGGTAGAGGAGCTGCCTCTTGGAAGGTTATATGTAGGTGGGTTCTGGAGAGTGAGGGGTAAGGCTGAATCAGAGATCCTAGCTATGCATCTGGACGGGATTTGCAATGGATGAGTGATACCAAAGCAGGAATTTCTCAACATGTATAAAATTGCCTCTTTTAACACCAAAAATGTTGCAGTGACATTATTTATTGCACCCAATTTCAGCATCAAGTTAATGGAGGTTTGGTAAACATTATTTACTCATTAGAATGGTTATTTATCCTCATATGTATTTAAAATATTTTGTCTTTTCATGGCCTGTGTATTGCCTATATTTTTCCAGATTTTTAAGAATAAGTGACTCACAGACAGGTGTATCACTAAAGTGTGGGTGATATCTTACACAAACTACTTCCCTAGAACTCCCTCTCAATACATACTTGTCTGTATAGTAAACATATTTAATTTCAATAGAAGTAATTTCTACTATATGTGTGGGAATATGAAATGTGGTGAAACTTAAGTGTTCTTGAATTGTAAATAATTTAAAAATTTTACATGTTTTATAGTATCAGAACACTTTGAATAATCTTTCTCAAATGTTCAATTGGAAATGACTCATTATTGCCATATGTATCACTTTTCGTAGATTTTTGTTACATTTTGATTTTTCTGTCCAGTAGTATTTATATGAATATACATTATTTTCAGTCTAATTAATAACCAATCAACTTTATAAACAACTATGGCAAGCCAAATCTCTTTTATGCACTAGATTAAGAATAGATACAAGGCCTGTTTTAAAACTTAGACAAGTAAATCAGTTTGCAAAATCAGGTAGAAGAGAAAATTAGCCTAGGTGGTATCTTCTGTGGTGACTATGTAGAGTTACCATTACTGACCAATCTGAGACACCTTGGATTATCAATCATTACACAGACAGAAGCTGTTACATGGGCATTCAGAGAGATATGACACTTCTCTGCAAACCTCAGCATCTGGAGCATGGGATCCTGTGTGTGGGTAAAAGGGCACATGTCATAGCTGTGTTCAGTACCCACCTACCACAACCAGGCAACACGCTCTCTGTGCTTCTCATTTTCCATCTAGAAAGTCCTCAGATAACAACAAATAAAAACACTAGAGTATTGGGACACCATATTTATTCACACATTGCGGTTTGGAGATGGAGGGATTTACTAGTTTGTTTCCTATGAAGTATTAGCTCTCCCTCAAGTTATGATGATGAAAGAAAATAAGAATCCTAAATTAGCTTTTAAACTGCCCAGTGCACGATTGTCCCTCCAGTGCTGACAGGCCTGAAGAAATGCTAAGCATTGCTTTTCTTGCTTTGCAGGACCAGTGGTTTTGGAGAGTGAGAAACAACAGGGTGATGGATGGATACCCCATGCAAATTACTTACTTCTGGCGGGGCTTGCCTCCCAGTATTGATGCAGTTTATGAAAACAGTGATGGAAATTTTGTCTTTTTTAAAGGTAAGCATGTTTTCTCAGACTGGTTCTGTTGTATATTGATCAGCTTGTTCAGGACCCTGTATAGTAAAAGGAAGTAAATAATAAAGGTAATTAAGATTATGTAATGGATTTCATGAAGTAAAATACATATAGAATAAAATATGTGGGAAATAAAGTTGGTATAATGTTTAATTATATACTTTCATTTGCCATATGCTCATGTGTAATTCAAGATTTATTGGCATTCTTCTCTGTAAGAATTTTAGATTTAGATTATATACAGTTCAAAGTAAAAGTAAGAGGCAGCAGACAACCAGTACAAGACTGCAAATTCAGTTATGTAGGAGACTGATGTTGAAGCAGAAGAATCACTGGAACCCAGTGGTTTGACACTACTGTACTCTGGAAATCATAGTAAGACCTTGTCATAAGAAGGGAGGGAAGGAGAAGAGGGAGGGGGCAGCAAGGGAGGGAGGAAAGTAAAGGAGTGGAAGGAAATAACTGGCTATTCCTCATCTTCGTGTTCATTTATTTACGTATATGGAGTTGCTTACTGTATTTTGTGGTGAAGTATGTTTGTAACTCAGAGTATATAATCTTTGTGGTTTTACTGTGCTTATATAAATAACTTTTAAACAAACTAAGAAATTAACCATAAAGATGAGAGAAGGTTGACTTGAAAGTTTGCTCAATGATCAGTATTCTGATATTGACTTAATTATTAATTATGTATCTCAGTGGTGAGTATTTATCTCAGAAATGCTGCCAAGTACCTAGCATACAAAAGTAAAAAGTGAACTGTTTCTGTATCATTAAAACTTGGGAATGGATAACTTTAAGAGGGGTTAGGAACACAGAGATAAAATAGAACTGAGTGATTTGTGATGGCCAATCTGAACTGAAACTGAGGCCTGGGCAATGGAAGAATCATAATTGATGTGTGATAGATGGGTTTCCAGAGCTAAGAGTAAACTCAAACATGACACAGTTTCAGACAGGAAGAAGATAATCTTGAGGAGAAAAAAATGTATTACTTTCAAGGTTGAATTAGTCTTTGAATTAATGATGAGTGCACTGAAAACAGTTTGGTGACATTGTATGTCTTGAACCTATATGAAATGAGTGCATTCTTGAATTATTTTTTCTTTGCAGACCATGTCTTGATTGAAATAGAAACACAGGTGTGTAAGTCATACATCATGTCAGGGGTAGGGGTACAGGGAAAGTCTAGTATTGCATTTTTCTTTATAAACTCTCAACATCCTGATCTGGGTGACATTTCTTGCCTCAGCTTACTTTTAGGTATTATGATCCACATTATTCCCTGTCTCAGAATTATTAGGACTACTAAATTATTACCACATGCACTTTGCACATGTATACTGTGAGTGCATGTCAGTTATTGCTGCTTCTGCAATGATTATTATTATTGCATTCCTGCTATTTTGTAGCAGGTGTAACTGAAATATGCATGAGGTATACTGCTGTGAACGAATTATGCACATCATTTTTGCCAGGCAAATGGGACTCGTAGCTGGGTTCTAAGTCTTGTTGATAAAATATCTTAGGGGCTGGAGAGATGGCTTGGCCAGTGAAGGCTAGGTTCACAACCAAAAATATAAAATAAATTAGAAAGAGACTCAGAAGCAAGCTTAAGCACAACTTCATTAGACAATGAGAGAAAAGCAAGCCAGTGGAGGTCAGCAAGCAGCCACACGGAAGAAAAAGAGCCACAGGGTAGAATGATTGGGCTACTTTTACACAAAGAGAGTACAGACGCCAGGAGTGTTTGGGAAAGCATGTCTAGACTTAAGAATTTCATAAAGATGGGACTTGCTTGTATTTTACCACCCCTATATTTTCAGTTCATGAAACAGTACTGATGGCATGGTCACTACTTAATAAGCATTTTAATAAAATAATTCATTTAAGTGGTAATTAAATGTCACTAGGAATTTAAATAAGGATGGCAGTCACAGAGGCTGACAGTAACTTCTGCTTTCAGTCACATATTCATGCTCAAAAGTTGCCTCAAATGTGATGGAGGTAAGATGGGTGGGAGGGTCAATGGCTTAAGAATAATCAGTACACTGTTCCTGCCTAAGAAATGTTTAGGTAAGACCTGAAGTGGTTAGTCATTCCCATGAAATTGGTCTGGAAGAAAATTCAAGAATAGTTACAGGTAGAAAAATATGGAGTATAAAATGTAGTAAATCACAATATCTGCCTCCTACATCTCATATTCTTAAAGCCTATATCTGGTATAAAGGGCAAGTGTTTCAAGTTAAAAGCTTCAATATTGCAAAGAAACAGAGAAAAGTTTATTCATAGAACTGTTTGTGCCTATGTCGATATACGATGCAGTCACCCAAAAGGTTTCTCAAATTGGTGAGTGAATATAGTAAGATAAGATTGTAGAAATATCATTTATATAGGAACTGAGACTCTATAATATTTGTAAACTAACAACATAGCTTATCTTACTTTCATAAAATTTGGAATGACAGCAAGAAAATCCTCAAAAAGAGAAAGGGAGTTAGGGAAAATTCAGCAGCCTGCAACCCAACTCCCATTGTGTGATATGAAAAGGGTGAGACAACTCCTCTTCATATAGTCTGTTTCATGGCTAAAAGGAACAGCAAACTAAATGATAATCAAGCCCACATAACTGTTTACTGAAGTAAAACATTTTCTTTACTAAACTTGACAGTAAATGAAATCCCTACTAAGATGAAGAGTTACTGCACTGTGAGTCAAGAAGAGCCATTATACAAGTATCTTTGCAAATGTGTTTCAAGAAGATCCATTATACAAGTATCTTTGCAAATGTGTTTCACAGTAAAGGCTATCAGTACAAACCAAGAAATCTATGGGAATTGCTTTCTACTACATGTTAGTACAGAAAAAAATTAAAGGCCATATCATTTAAAAATTTAAATATTTCTCTATCCAATTGCAAAAAAATATGTAGCACTTACACATTACAACACTCCACTAAACAAAAGTAAAGAAATTTTAGGTTAAGTATGTTTTATTCCTGGATGAAACATACTATTTCAAAGTGAAATCTAATCACATTTATCTATAGTTCCACTGCTGTTCCACTCAAAACTTCCACCGACTTTATTGTAGTAGAGATACAGAAAGGGTCTATGAGATTATTACATCAATTTGAGACTTATGTTGCAGCTACTGTGGAAGACAATAAGTCACCGCAATGAAGGAAGAAAATTAGATACGAGTGAAAATGAAGAGCTAGTTCAGAAATAGAACCAAACATATATCTAAAAGTAATCTTTTTCTTCAGAGATTCCCTTGAAAGTCGCAGAAAACTTCATTAGCAGCAAACCAAGAACCTTTCAACAAATACCGCCTAATCCATTGGCTATTTATGTACAAATTCTGATATGTATCTTGGACTATATATGAATTCCCAATGGCCTCATCACCATGCTGAAAGCAGTTGATTCTCTGGATGTTCTAGACCAATATTGCAGACATTTGTGACTTGAGTTTAGGAATTCAACAGAATTCATAATCCACAAAGATTTTCATTTTTTAAAAAGATACTTTAAAGTAGAAAAGAGAACAGTGTGTCCTGTGTGTATATATACAAAGACTTTTGAAAATTTAATTTTATATAGCTCAATAAAAACTGAGAGATATGGAGAAAAATTTCACCAACATTAATATATAGATTTCAGATGAGAGTTGAGGGAAATGGGAAGGAATACAGGCAAACCATGTGGAAATCCAGGGGGATTAAGATGATCATTATTATAGTTATTTGATTTTTTGATAGGTGTATCTACATGTGTACTTAAAGTTTTATATATACCAAACATCAAATTTTTACAGATTATGTACTTTAAATTCATGTTATTTATTATGTTATGATCGTCATAACAAACAAGGCTGTTATATAAAGGAGGAATCCTATCAGTTTATGTATTCTACAAATTCACATATGCCAGGTCATAGGTATTAGAATTAATCATTTATATGTCTAGTGCATGCTTAATGTAAACACACATTTCTCATTATAGTTCACTACTGAATAAGAAGGTATCATGATAATCAAATAGGGGCCGCTCACAGCAGAGTTTCCACTTTCATATCAGCTTCCTGTGTTGCCTTATGTTCTAGTGTTAGGACTGTTTTTAGAATGAGGAAGTAAGTCTCAATAGAGAGGTAACCCATTTACCAAAACTATATTAAAAACAATGCATAATCTTAATTTAATGTTATATACTACTCTCTTGAAGTGACTTTAATGTGTGTTCTAATAAAGCTCTGCTCTGATAATCATTATGAAATATGTCAGCAAGAATATTTTTGCATAAACTCACCATAATATATTTAATTGTTATTGCTATTCTATTTTTACTAATTTCCCTAATTTAGTTCTGCTTATTTTTAATGTTTTTTCTATTAAATTGTATACTCTTCATAAGACACCTTAAGATTTTATAAAATGAAGAAACACAGAATTTGAAACTTTAAATGATATTTAAAATGCACTAAACGTATATATGTATGGATCTTTCCTTTTAACAAAAGTGAAGTCATTTCAGATGGTGAGAGACAACGCAGTGGGGTAGAGTGCTACTTCTTGCAGAGGACCAGACATTAGTTCCTAGTGCTCTTACCAGGTAGCTCACAATCACATAGCCTGTGTATTGGTAACTCCCCTGGTACCAACATTTGCATACACAAAACCACACACATTCATACACATAACTAAAAAATTAAAAAAATAAAAATATATCAAAGTTATTGGATAATGTCTCACTTAACTTGCTGACATAGTAAACAGTACAACTATGTACAGGTGATTTTGAGCTGGGTATGAGGATGAATATAAAACAGGCTGTTCTCAGCATGAATTTGTTGCATGTACAATGATTGGGTTACATTTACTTACTTGGTCTATATCAACTTCCTTCTGTTTCTCTTCTACTTCATATTTGGCAGCTACTCTGAGTGCTTCTCCTTCATTGAGTTTGTAAGATTGTTTCCTT